CCTAACTATTCTATGAGTCTATGATTCTATTGAAAGAAGAAAGCTATACTCATTCTTTACTCCTTTTGAAGACCTCTCATCTTCTATTTTTTTAATCCTTTAATGAACTAACACATGAACTCTACCAGTCACAAGCACCAAGAGAAGAAGTGAAGAAACAAAAGAGCCACCAAAGAAAGGGATCTGCAGAAAAAAATACTTAACAAATCTTTAAGGTTTGCTATTTGAAAGATCAACCTTTTTTTAATCCTGTTCAATTTGATTTTATTGGAAAGAACAAATGATCTGGACCCATTTGGTGACCCAGGAGGAAAAGCAACCCTGCTCCTCATAAGGAGTCCTCATTGTTTTCCTCATGTGCACTGCTTTCCTTGGCTGGCCAGCAGCACCAGGACAGGCACTCAGTGACACCCTGCCAAGACTCCAGCAAGGTGCTAGCAGAAAAACCCTGTCCTTCTTCTGGACTACCACAGATTTTGTGCATGGAGGTGTTTTTTATTGCAGAGTAGCAGAATCAGACTCAAGAGCTTCCAATTAAACAAAAGAATGTCCTCACAACCATAACAAAAGAAGCAGGAAATAAAGTTTTTATATTAAACAGTACTTTGCTGGAGCGTTCACAGCTTGTTACTAAGAAAGTACAGCCAGTGCTGATAGCATAACTACGTTGAGTGTCTCTACAAGCCGAAGAGATGAGGAGCCTCTTCTTCATGGAAGAAGAATAGTGAATATATTCTTCCAGTGATTAAGAAAATGGTACGTCTGCTTAGCTAGGTGCAAGAGACAATAGTGACAGGACAAGGGGGAATGGCTTCAAGCCAACAGAGGGGAGATTTAGACTAGATATTAGGAAGAAATTCTTTACCATGACAGTGGTGAGGCACTGGCACAGGCTGCCCAGAGAAGCTGTGGCTGCCCCATGCCTGGCAGTGTTCGAGGCCAGGTTGGACACAGGGGCTTGGAGCAACCTGCTCTAGTGGAAGGTGTCCCTGCCCATGGCAGGGGTTGGAGCTGGAGGAGCTTTAAGGTTCTTTCCCACCCCAAACCAGTCTGTGATTCTATGACTAGGAAGATGCTGACACAGATATATTGAATATATCTGCCCAGACTGAGATGGCAAAAGGAGACGTTCTGAGGGCTTTAGGGTTTTTTTTGTTGTTTTTAAACCAGCCCCATAAGCCCATCAGCCAGCACTCATTGCTGCGCACAACAAACCCTTCCCATTCCCTGTTACTCTGACTTTCTCCTCCAGGTCAGGCTGAGGACAGTCTTAAATCACACATTGGTTGTTTAATGTCCACAGTGACCATATGAATGGAAAAATCCTCTTCTTTTCAAATAAAAGCTCCATTCAAATTTCCAGCAGCTATCTAAATAATAACCCAGCATTACCCATGTTTTGAGGGAGTCTTTACTCTCATGGGGTAGACTACTTGAAATGTGTCCCATTAGCAGGAAGGGAGAGTTGTCTTTTACAGGAATTTAGTATTTTTCAATAGAACCAGCTATGCAGGGCAAGGAAAAGCCCTACAGGCATGAAAAACTGCATAGCACCAGTCTGGAAAGTTTATTTTAAAAACAGAACTACATCCTAAGCTGTTATATGTCAGTGGATACAAAGCTCTTCTTTAAATAACATCCAACTGTGGCTATGCCCTTGGCATGTCCCAGATCTCTGCAGCTTACTGCTTGTTGTAAGGGAATGAACAGTTTTGGTAGGAGGTATAACCGTATTTGCTGGACACAGAGGACAGCATGCATTTAGCCTACACCAGCAAACACCCAGAATGACAGCCATCAGCTTTTCTCCCCTGTTTAATGATTTCTCATCTCCTGCTGGAAATGCAGAGCATGCCAAATAGACAAGTAGGGCAGACAAGCAACTAACTTCATCTTTGTGGATAGACGTGCACCCTCTTTCCTTTTCTAACTCTTCAAATGGCAGTCGTGCAGAATTACCATGGCAAACAACACCTCTAGGGTCACACCTGGTGGATTCCAACATGAACATCATCCAGCCCTTGACTAAGGTAGACCAGAACTACTATGAGCAGAGCAGCAGGGACAGCAAGGTTAAGGCAGCACCTAGACATGGTTCACATCAGTATTCTTTACCAGACAAGCTTTGACTAGCCTATATTTACAAGTTCTCTTTGCCATTCCCAAATATTTACAGTTGAAGAGCGAAGCACTTGCAAGGAAAGACCAAAATGTTGTAAAGGTTTTAAGAAACTTTTGGGTTTATGTTCACATGAAAGGGGGTTTTAAACAAAAGTCCTGCCTCTCAGAGAAGGGCTGCTTTGATGTCTTGTGGCTCTAGCCACTTCTCTTCCAGATGAGCAGTGGGCAGGATGTGATGCATCTAAACTCCTTCCTTTCCCTAGAAGGGACAGAATAGCTGGCTGGTTTTGTGAAATCCAACTATTCCTGGCATGAGACCTGTTTACGATGCAGAAGGGAGGTGCAATCTCTAAGCTTCTCATGTGGGCAAGCTTCAGGCCACAGGATGGTGAAGCTAATCAAAATGAGTAGGTGCTCACTGAAGGAGGCATTGTGAGTTGGCCCTGCAGAGAGTTCTTGCTTTAGGAGGAAGGCCGATGCTGCTCATGCAACGCTCAGGATACTCAGTGGCTTTCCTGGCAAAAACTCTATGGTAGTTAACAAAACAAATACTTTTGTTAAACACCAGCAACGACTTTTCTGAGGTGGCATGTACCTTCAAGCACTGCCACAGGCCCTCCTCCATCTCTAGCACAGAAAAAGCACCAGGCAACTCTCTGCATATGTGGAAGACACAATGCACACCCACCTTGAGCTTGTGCTCCTTCCTGTTGACAATGACGGCTGTGATCTGCTGGTCCATGAAGATGAGGATAGTCACCAGCAGTGCAGGGATGGCTGCTGCCAGGTACACCCACCATGGGTTCCCTCCAAAAGGTGGGATAAACCAACCCCTCTCGGGGCTGGTTGGCTTTTAAGGGCAAGAAAAAGAAAGCTTGCATTAGAGCCACAACAGAGGAGTGATGACATCCTAAACACACTTGTACTTCCAGCAATGAGGCTACAGGGAGGCACTTGAGGTTTGAGACAATTTCATCCTTCCTATCAACAGCAACAAAAGGTTCAAAGAGGCAGGATTTAGGAGATAAATCATCCAACCAAAATGATACTAATAAAAAGGTTATAATGTGAGTAAAACAGTCCCAGCCAGCTGACTGGTCTCCTGTTATAAGGACAAGTCATTTTATACATGGGAGATGGGCAGAAAAGGGAACCTCTTCCAAAGGCCACCAAACAAACTGACAACGACCTACCTTGAATTCACTTGGCACAAGTAGTTTCGGTGTGTCCACACCTACCAGGGCATCTATTCCACAGAAAATCAAAATGGACAAGATAATGGCAAAGTCACTGATGAGCTTCCGGGCCTGGAACAGAAGTTGATATCATAACAACAGTAGTTAGTACTACGAAAGACATTCTGCCCCTCTGCTCTCGTGAGACCCCACTTGAAGTACTGTGTGCAGTTCTGGTGTCCTCAACATAAAAAGGACATGGAGCTGTTGGAGCAAGTCCAGAGGAGGCCACGAGGATGATCAGGGGGCTGGAGCACCTCCTGTATGAAAACAGGCTGAGAAAGTTGGGGCTTTTCAGCCTGGAGAAGAGAAGGCTGCGTGGAGACCTCATAGCAGCCTTCCAGTATCTAAAGGGGGCCTACAAGGATGGCAGAGAGGGACTCTTCGTCATGGACTGTAATGATAGGAGAAGAGAAAAAAGGGAGAACGAAGAAATGGTATTTTACACCAGACAATGGAAACTGTCACAAACTTCCCTCTAGAAGATGGAAAGTCCCAGTGGATTCAAACTTAAACAGGGGAAGTTCAGATTAGATATAAGGAAGAAGTTCTTTACTGTGAGGGTTGTGAGGCACCGGAACAGGTTGCCCAAAGAAGTGGTAAACGCTCCATCCCTGGCAGCGTTCAAGGCCAGGTTGGACAGAGCCTTGGGCAACATGGTCTAATGTGTGGTGTCCCTGCCCATGGCAGAGGGGTTGGAACTAGATGATCTTAAGGTCCCTTCCAACCCAAACCATTCAATGATTCTATGCTTTAGTTTCTTATGTGATGCTCCAGGCTTGTTTTTGGTGGCAATAAAAGCTCAGAGTTTCTTCTTTTCTACAAACGAAGGTGCACATTGTTGTGTCTGGTACCATTTGCCAAAGTGTCTTGGTACTTCATTGCGTTGCCTGAAAGCCAAACAATTAAGCCTAAATGGAAGTATGAAAACAAGCCTAAGGAAAAAGAAAACTGCTTTTCTAAGAAACTCCCACATGAATTCTTCAAGGCAGTCTCACCGATGTTAATTGGACAGCGGCCAACAACTACTGGTATAGAGACCTAGCTCCTCTATGACAGTTTCTGCAGACTCTTTAGGATCAGCTTCCAATATTAACAGGTATTGAACACTTCTCTAAAGTCCTTTTTTAGACATATAAAACATTGTCTCCTGTTTGCCTTCTGACCTCTGTGTCTTTAGGATCCCCACAGTCATGTTTTTCTATGCAGGGCCAGAGACTGCTTCTTTAACAAGTGCTGAGCTTCTTGTGTTATCGCAGAATTCCTAAGGTATGTGGCTTCAACAAAAAATACTGATGTTCCCAGACACCACGATTTTAATATGACTGAATTTGCAACACAGATTAAAAAAAAAAAAAGGGAGGGGAAGAAATGGTATTTTATACCAGACAATGTAAACAGTCACAAACTTCCCTCTAGAAGATGGGAAGACCCAAACTTCCATGACAAATGATATGTTCCGTAGGACTGGCAGAGATCACATTGCTAAGTTCAAGCAATCAACCAACCTAAACAAGACAGGAAAACAAACTGGGCTTCTCAGTAAACTCCTCAACATGCCCTAAGAAAGCAACAGTCTTGAAGTCACTGGAATGTTATAACTTGAAGCTGCCACTGGTCAGACCCTGAAATTTAACTAGGCAGGACCCACTATGCTTGCCTGTAACTGCATCGTCTTTTCAGAGCTCTTGTTCCTTCCAGGTTTCCTGGGTTCACATGGTTACAGATAAATTGAGCTGCATTCCAGCCTGGATGGAATTTGTTTCCTTTTTATTAAAAATAATAGAGGTTCAATCGTAACACAGCAAAACAGTAAACATCCATGCAGGATAAATCCCTGTGCGGCAGAATGCCAAAAATGGGGGGAGGGGGAGAGGGTGTCTCAGGGAGAAACATGGCTTTGGTATGCATGGAAACTGCCAGCTCGCATGTGTGTCCTGGTGACAAAACAAGTGGGTGCCCCTGAGAGGTGTGTGTAAGTTGGTTTAAGTCTGAGCAAAATCTTGTTTAAAAGAAGTTTTTCAGGTCATCCTTATTTTGCATCTGATCCTCAGAGAAGAAAGGGAATTGCTGCTTTGGGTCCCTACCATAAGGGGTAGATCAGGACCCTAGTTGAGTTCAGCATTTTTGCCTTTGTTTCCGAGTATTTTAAACACTGTGTGATAACACCAAAGCTTAGCTACTTCTAGTCAGCGACAAACCAAAGGTCTTCTTTTGTCCTCCCCAGATACTCCCTGGGGCTACAAAGCAGGGAGAGTTCTGGCATAAGGATTAATAATCCCTTTTGGTCGTTTGATTTCTACAGAATGGCCACACATCCCACCCCAGAGTCAGTACATCCTATTAAGCCGTGTACGTGACGCTGAAAATGGCCAGATGAAACTATATGTGCCTGAAGGACTCTTCTGATTTCTGAAGGCCGATAAGCTACATGTGATGTATCTCAGCTCAGAAGCGTTGTCTTCAACACCTTTAAAATCACTGCCACATCCCCATGACACATTAGGGCTCATTCTGGCTCTTCTGCTGCCTTACATGTGTGCCCCAGAGACACTGAATGACAGCTAAACAATCCCAGACATTCCTTGCTTTTTACCTCAATCCATGCAACCTGGCTTCCCCACAAAGCATTCCTCCCTATGTGTGTGTGACAGCAATACCAAAAGGCAGGCTGACATTTGCACTCTGAAGCAGTAAAAGAAACAAGACTACCAGGCTGAGATACTTACAGTGGTTGGAAAATAGCGACTGGTCTTGAATTTCTTCAGGGCCATGGAGCAGGTGTAAGTGCCAAAAAAGAGGATGAAAGACATGAGGGTGATGTCAGGGACATATTCACAGTTGTTGCCCACAAGTCGTCCTCCATATTTCAAGCACTCCTTCTTTGTCAGAGATGACCAGTCAATGGTGGTATTGTACTGCAGAGAAAAAGAGAAGGTTTCCATAAAGCTGTGCATGAGCTGCTTATGTGAAGACAGGAATGGGGATAGATAATCAGGAAAAATACTTGGAGGAAAGAGAAGGCATGCTGCAGAGGCTAAAAATCCCTGCGCAGACAGAATGGATTTTAGCCTGGACAGAGGATGATATTACCTGGGAAGAGAGGACAGCCTGGGCCTTGGAAAGAAGACAGAGATCTTTTGACCCCTGCTGTGGTCTGCCAGCCATGCTGTGCATTTTCTCCAGTTGGAAACCTCACACGGAAGCTGGAGCGGCCTAAGACCACCTGAACAACACTAAACCCAAATCCGCTTCTCTCAGATCAAGACCAGCACTGTTTCCACAGCAGAAAATCTTCCTCCTTGCCCTTTCAATGTAAGTCCAAGCAAACCTCAGGACTGTGTGACCATTTTGCTGCTAATGTCTGACTAAAAGTGGATCTGCAACGTATTTAAGGTGTTCTCTAATGTTATGACTGCATGCACGTTCAAGAGAAGATGGAGCTGTAGCAAAGCACCATCCTCCACCAAGTAGAGAGGTTCTGTTTTCTTGAATGTAGCCTGGGGCAGTAGGCTGTGAATAGGCTGTATAAATCTAAGGAAGCACAGCTCTTCCACACAGCTGGACCTACCAAAATTCCATGTATCATCCCTTACACTTACCATGTCAGAAGAGGAATAGAAGAGCTCATCGGCTGACGGCACCGTTGTCCTGTTAAATAACGAGCTATTAACTGCAAGAGAGGACAGAAAGAGAAATATGAGTATGGTGCTGAAACAGCGAGGAAGGAAAGCAAATTCCAGCCACTGAATCATTTGTTAGCTCCACCAAACAGCTGGCAATGTCTTTGCTCAAGTGAGTCAAAAGTATTGTTTCAGAGTCATGATCAATCATCAATCACTTAAAAAACAGAAAGCAAAGGCTAAGTGAAACGTAATTCAAACCTAACTGCTGTTTATCTTGGAGTTCATTGTAAAATAAACTACAGAAAAGCAGACAATGTAATATTTCATGGTCTTGCAATACTTTTCTAATGATTTATGGATTAAATATTCATAGAACACTCCTATAATTATTAATTTAAAATTAATGCACAACCCCAAAGGCATCCTGAAAAGCAAAATGCATTTCAGAATCCAGCATATACACATTTTTCAAGTTAAAAAAGATAAAGAGTAATCAAAACTAAGCGGATGGAAATCATTCCTGTGAAAAAAGGGGCAGCATTCACTGTGGCAGTAAATGTTTTCCTTTTGTTTTCCTGGGATTAGAAATCATTTATTTGAAATTTCCTTTAGAAAAGCAATCCTTCCTGAAAATAGGCTTGTCAACTACATGCTCATGTGTTATTTAGGTTTTGCAAGGGCTGATGCCAAAACTCTGGAGCCAAATCTTAAAGACGCAGATTAAAACCAACTGTAAAAAGCCTGGATTGGAGTATGAGGGAAGAAGAGGTAGCTTTACCTCTGGCATGACAAAGATCCATAAAGTTTAACCTGCACTGACGTTGGCAAAAAAAACAAAGAAATCTCATCCCTGCATCCAGCACAACCCGTGACAGCTTCTCAATACCTACAATACCTCAGCAGCAACAGACATTATCTATACTAGAAGGAAATCAGTGGAAAGAAAGTTCTGCTACTGCATTACACTGTTTCCTAAAACCAGGCAGCCCCTTTTGCTGTCAACATGGATTTTTGCCTGAGCATTTTTATGCTACTTGCATTGTTATTCCATTTCCTGATGCATGAAAGCTTGCAAACTTTCAGAGAGGCAATGTTAGCACAAAGGATAACTGATGTTCTCAATGCTCTCTTGGTACCTGCTTACAAAACCTGCTGCTCAAGACCTGAGCTCTGCTTCCAAGAAACTGATTTACTGTTGTGTGGTAACAGAGATGGTGTGAAAATCTGTTTATTTAAGGAGCATGAATTAAATCTGTGCTGTCTTTTGCTTATGGATACTGTCTGGATTTTTGCAGAGACACAGCTATACAGACACCCGCATATATTGGTGTATTTCAGACCTGTGAAAAGCCAAACTGTCAGTGTCCCACGTGATGCGCTAGCAGCTATTTAACAGGCCACTTGTTCCTCTGGAAAATTCCTTGCTTCTGTGCATCACATCCATCATGGAATGACATGCCACCAAGCAAGGGATGAGAACAGCCAAAGAACCCAGTGTTGTGGTTTAAACGTTGGTGTTTAGATGGCAAGTGGAGATCTTCAATTTGGCATTGACCATTCCCCATTGTCCTAACTCCAAAAAAAAACAACCCAACACCCTGCCATTCACATGAAAGCAGAACTAGACCCAAATCCAAATGCTGGCAGAGAGCTTACTAACGTAAGCACATAATTCCTGAGAATCAGTTCCCAACACCTTTTGCACAGGGGCAGTGTGCAGCAACCAGGACCGTTTCCTGTTTGACAGGTATGCTGAAATAACCTGAAGTTTATTTTGAGCATAAACCAAGTTTCTTACTCACCCCTCATTGTTTGAAGGATCCTAGGAGTGGCTGCAGTTTCCCTAATGGTGTGAGCTAGCAGACTTGTGTTTGTATTTGGGTTGTGTAACCATTTGTTCCTAGTTGTGTGGCCAGATCTGTACATATGCTGGCTGTACCTGCCTTGCAGCCCACGCTCTAGTGATAGGCTGAACTGTTAGATAGACTTCCCCTCTGCTCTAGTGAGGATCTGTTTGTGCTTTTCCACTCTTACACATAGCCAGGAGGTGGAAAACCACCCATGTTTGGGTGATATCCTGAATAAAGCCCGCTCCTGCACTTGCCAAAATGGCATAGCTGATACCAGGGGTGACCTGAGCACCATGGCAGTGACCTTGGCCGCCACCTCTGCCACTTCACACACTTTTCAGAGGAATGCCATTCAGGATTTACAGCCACAGACACAGGGGTACAGAGACAGCTTCTCCACTGGTGAGGATGTTCACATGAGGAGTCTCAGGAAGGTCGGTTATAATGACATTCCAATAAGCATGTAGAGTAAAATTCACCCCTCAGCTTCAAAATAAGGCTAAGACAGGATATCTGAAGACAACTGATAAAGAAGAATCTACCTGTTTGGGGTTTATTTTTATTATTTTACTATCTGAACTACAGCACAATAGAGAAAGAAAGCAAATGCAATCTCCTATCTGCAAAGTGGAGACCTAATTAAACATTATCTTACCTGGATCTAATGGTTCACAGGCACAAGAGTAATGCGTGATATAGTCCTCCTTGAACTCAGAGTTGATGCGGTAATGATCTGCCAGCTTGATCATCTTCTTGAAAGCATCGTATATGAAGATGAAGCTAATAAGGGAGGAGAAACCTTCTTCAGTGAAGCGGGTGAAGTACTTGACCAGGAAGCTGGCATCGGTGGCGACAAGGATGAGACACAGGAAGGCTGACCAAAGGCCGATCCAGAGGCGAAACTCCAGGTAGTCAAAATTATTGTCTCTGCAACAAGACAGGGGTGGGCAAGAAGGGCAAATGTCAGGGTTAGAGAAATCCATGCAGGATTGTGACTTCCCAGCGAGAAGTGGTGAACCACAGCCTTGGGGACCTGTGCTCATTGAGACTCAACAGGAGTGTCCCAAGAGTTAAGCTCTCCCAGCCAGCCAACTCCATAAACATACGTGGTGCAGTTTAATAGCCAAGGTGGCAGAAAAGCATGCAAAGTGATCAGTCTTGCTTGTGCCTCCACCAGTAAATGTTACCAATGAATTCAAGTTCTTCCTAGGCTTTCCAGTAGAAGTCCCCCCTTGGCAAATACTCACAGAGCTGCAAAGGCCCCAACATCCAAGAGCAGCTCAATGCCGACAGCCTTCCACCAGCCGAAGACATAACCACAGTTTATGAATCTCCTTCAGAAAAGCAATCTCCTGCCAAGCCTCACAGTCAGCAGCCTGCGTTTCCATCTCTCAGGCCCTTGCACTAATCAGAAGAAATCAAAATACCAGCAGGAGGAGATCAAAAGCACAAAGCAGAAGATAACAAACCCTGGTGGCAGGGGAATGATGGAGAGAACTGCATCGTTCCCTCCTGGGAAGGAACAGCCCTGGTTTGCTGTGCCCTGATGCTGCAGAGTCCAAAGGCAGGCTTTTAGGACAGAACAAATTTGAAAAGCACAACACCAAAGCAGATGAGGCCCTGCCAGGGAGGTTACTGCCTGCTCTAGGTTAGGAACAGGAGGCAGTGGGGCCAGCAGCACCAGCCCCACAGTCTTCCCTGGAAGCCAGAATCAGGGTTGGGTATCTGCATTCAACTCAAGCCTCTGCAAGACTTTCTCCTTACTGTAGATAAGATATTGGTGAGGGCTGCAGCATTCTCACACTGAGAGACTGACCTGGAAGAGGGGTAAGGAACAAGGAAGCAGCAAAGTGATGATTTAGGAAAGAAAACAGAAAAAAATCCCAATAATCAAAGACCCCTGTATCTCTGAAATACCCAGTCAGTGCCAATGAGAGCAGGAGTGTAGAGACCACGTGTGGAGAAGACAGCTGGCAGAAGCCCAGATGGCATCCTGGGCACACCCTGCACACACTGAAGAACTTCAAAAGGTTTTAAACTATGTTATTTTTTTAACCCTCAAAGTCCTGCAGCACTTCAACATTCTACCTGCACAATATACATTTTACACACAATCCATCCAGGGATGCCCCAGCCCTGGCAGTGTTCAAGGCCAGGTTGGACGGGGCTTGGCACAGCCTGGTCTAGTGGAATGTGTCCCTGCCCATGACAGGGGGTTGGAACTGGATGAGCTTTAAGGTCCCGTCCAACCCAAACCAGTCTGTGAGTCTATGATAATACAAAAGCTAAGTACTTTTGCTGTTATTAATTTTCTTTCCGAAGTCTTGAGAAGAAACTTTCCAGCCTTCTGTAGCTGGAAGGCAGAAGGGCTGGGGTCCTGCTACCCTGGGGAGCCCAGAGCCTTGCATCCCACTGCTTCCAGCTTGGAAACCCAGACTCATTCCACACTGGAAAGCCTCTGCATGGGAGCAGAGCTCACCAACGAGGGTATGAGCTGAGCCGGGGTGTCCTGGAGCAATGACTCACCCGAGCACGATGCAGGGCTTTTTCAGCTATCTCTCCATGCACACACACAGAGTGACAGAGTCACACTTAAAATGAATCAGTGGACGGGAAATCTTTCTAATTTTGCTCCCAGCAGGAGCAGCATGCTGTGAATATGAACAACCACAAATGCATTATTGAAAAATCACAGTGTTTGATTCCAGCTTCCTTGTGAGAAAGTCTCCTTTGAAAAATCCTGCCATTCTGCTCCAGCAGGTTGTTAGGACAATAGCTTTTATAACCATCTCCTCCTCAGGTTAAAAATAACCACCTTCTCTCTCCCAAACCATAAAAAGCATTTTTCCATCTTGCTTTTTTCCTTCCATGTGCAGCACCTGGGCTCTGATCCACCCAGCAGATGCAAACGGCTATAGCATGTCTATTCCTAAATTTGCTAATTTATGCCAGTTGTAGGAAGAAAAGAAAGGTCCCCCCCTCTTGCTCTGCTGTGGAGCTCTCACCAGTTGGCAGCTTCCAATTTCCCTCCCTGGAGTAGTCTTGTTTCCTAATATCCAATCTGAACCTCCCCTCTGTCAGTTTAAAGCCATTTCCCCTTGTCCTATCTCTACCTGCCCTTGTCAAAAGCCCCTCTCCAGATTTCTTGTCAGCCCCTTTACGCACTGGAAGCTGCTCTAAGGTCTCCCCAGAGCCTTCTCTTCTCCAGCCTGAACAAGCCCAGCTCTCTCAGCCTGTCTCCAGAGCAGAGTGCTCCAGCCCTCAGAACATCTCTGTGGCCTCCTCTGGACTCAAGTGAGTTAAGTAACTAAATGAAATCGTCTTACTCCAAGAGTGTGGGATTGCACATGTGGGATCACATGTAAGTGCACCATTAGCCTTAGCAGAAGCTCTGTCCCTCAGAAGGCTCCTCCAACATGTAGGGTATTCACAGGAAAGACATGAGTATATGCTCTCAATTATTTCTGAGTAACTACCCACAAGATTAAATATAATGAGGAAGGAGATACAACACACCACGTCTCCTGCCTCACTGCAACCTGCAGCCTTGTTCAGCTTAATAATTCAATAGACCTCTTCTAAAAATAACCACCAATGGCCAAAGAGCTGTTCCACATCACAGGCAACTGCTTTTGAAAGAAAGCCTAATAATGCCTAAACTCCAAAAGCTCTTGGTTTTGTGTACTGAAACACTAGTCCTTCACAGCTTGCAATGCTGTGAACGCTCCCTGATGGCGGAAGGGAGGGCTACACATGATTTGGGGTGTTTTCTGTATAACCTGAAATGATCTCCCTGCAAAACATCATCCAAAGTATCAGTAGTTCTACATGTAAAATAGTCAACGAGAACACCTAATGAAATGGGCTCTGGGTGTCAGCTATCATTGCTGTATCAACCTTTACATGTTGAGGATGGAGCAGAACCTCTTTATGCTCAGCTTTGGAGTCCTCAGTACAGGAAAGACATGGACCTGTTGGAGAGGGTCCAGAAAAGGGCCACAAAAATGATCAGAGGGATGGAGCACCTCTCCTATGAGGAATGGCTGTAAGAGTTAGGGTTGTTCAGCCTGGAGAAGAGAAGACTCCAGGGAGACCTTACTGTCACCTTTCAGTTCTTAAAAGGTGCCCAAAAGAAAGATGGGGAAAGACTTTTTAGCAGGGCCTGTAAGGACAGGATGAGGGGTGATGGTTTTAAACTAAAAGAGGGGAGATTCAAGCTGGATGCAAGGAAAAAAATTCTTTACAATAAGGGTGGTAAAATACTGGCACAGGTTGCCCAGAGAGGTGGTGGATGTGCCATCCCTGGAGACATTTAAGGCCAGGCTAGATGTGGTTCTGAGCAACCTGATCCAGTTGAAGATGTCCCTGCTCATTGCAAGGGGGTTGGGCTAGATGACCTTTAAAGGTCCCTTCTAACCCAAACTATTCTGATGCTATGCTTAAAGATTATCCAGTTAAAAGATAAAAAAACCTCAAAGCCAAAAGCATGTAATGCAGCAAAGCTCCACTGAGGAAATTTGGGGACAAACAGGGCTGTTTCTATCATAGGTGTTTCTGTTTTCGTAAGTAATAGTGATTACTTCAAATAAGTAGTGACTTAAGGACAAATTGCTAGTGAAATCAAAAGCTGGATTTCTGTCTTTGCTCCTATGGGAAATACACCTGTACCAACTGGGGAGCAGCAGCCCACTGACTGCAACTGCTGCAATCTTCTCACGGAGGACAGGCTTGGCCACGTTCTTCCAAGACACCCTGAGGAGATACGCACCCACCTGCTGGCAGTGCTCGGGGACATGCGTGCCTGGGAAAATCCCTGATGAGATCACACTGCAAGCTCGACACGGAACAAAGAGATGTTTCATTTCATGCCCTAAATCCCCTCCTTCCCCACCGCGAACCACCTCATTCCCTGGCTAGTATTTCATTAGCGCGAGACATTTCTCCCCTCCTCCCTTGTACTTACTTGCTGAAATTGAAGAGGAGCCGTTCGAAGACAAGGACAGGTCCTGTGCTGCTCAGAATTGTGAGTGGCTGACCAGCAAAAAGGCAAAATATCGCGCCAGCCACTGCTGTGCCCAGGAAACTCTCCAACACGCCCTACGGTAGACACAGGAGAGAGGTGAGCTCTGCTGAATAATCCCTTCCATTAGCTCTGTTGCAAGAAAGTGAGTAGTTGTATCAGTGACCGGTTGTGTGCTGTATGATGCTAAGTCAAAGAGAAGACCGTCTTCTGCCCTCTCTCACAGCTGTGCACACTGATGTGTTCATCCCACACAATTCATAGATACTCACGATAATCAGCAACCTCCCTGGTTATTTCTGAGGCCAACAGTTTGATAATGCTATATCATATTTTATATCTGACAAGAGGAGGAGAGTGTTTCTGAAGATCACTTCAAGGAGTTGATAACTCCTTGAACATCTCCCACATGTTTGATAGTAAAAATACGTGTTAGTAGGGCTCTTCCAACAGACATGTGGCTAGAGGACAGCAGTGACATCCTCCAGGACAACAGAGTATCCTGCAGCTGAGCCTAGGCCAAGTTTGTTTCTCCCTTCCCCAACTGAGCACTCATGCTTTCTAAATAAATAAGATGCTTCTCTTTCAAGCAACTGTTTTAGTAAGTGAGACACAAACCAAACAAGACTACTTCATCCAGCAGCCACATGTTGAGACCAAAGTTCACCAGATGTCACCAGCAAGTAATAAAATCCATATTTAACAGGTTCTACAATTACTTTTGGCATGTGTGGCAAAACAGCTTCGCCTGAGAAGGATAAAAGAGCATGCTTGATACATTCTTGCATTTTCATGTCCAACTAGAGCTGGGCAGTATCTACTTATAAAATGCAAAATGTAGATAAAATATGAATGGCAATAAAATATGATTACTGACTAAGTGTACATCCTACAGAAGTGGCAGAACTCACAGGGCCTTATCTTGTTTGCTCATACGGAAACTAATCTCTTTACACTTGGCTGAGTTTTAAAGGACCAACCACAGCATCATCTTCAGCTGAGTAAGACGTGCAGCAGTGAGCATCACCCTCTCCAGGAATACTCGCCCAGCAACCAGGGGCACATTTAAGCACAGGCTCATGTGCTCCGTTGTAGCTGTGTCCGAATCAGCAGCCTCATTAACACTGCACGTGCTTAGCAACCAGCAATTAACAGCATGTGCAGATCCTTCTTTCCATCTGTGACAAACTGCAGGGTTGGGGCTGCAGTTTGTCTGACTTACCAGTAGTAATGTGAAGAATTTAAAGTAAGTTTTGTGCCTCTCTTCCTTGGAAAGGGCCAAGTTGGTGTTTACACTGAGGAAAGTATGTTCATAGAGTCACTGACAGTTTTATGTTGGAAGGAACCTTAAAGCTCATCCTCTTCCAACCCCCTGCCCCGGGCAGGGACACCTTCCACTAGAGCAGGTTGCTCCAAGCCCCTGTGTCCAACCTGGCCTTGAACACTGCCAGGGATGGGGCAGCCACAGCTTCTCTGGGCACCCTGTGCCAGCGCCTCAGCACCCTCACAGGGAAGAAGTTCTTCCTAATAGCTAATCTAAATCTCCTCTCTGTCAGTTTAAAGCTGCTCACCCTTGTCCTGTCCCTACCTGTCCTTGTAGAAAGCCCCTCTCCAGATTTCTTGATGGCCCCTTTAGGTACTGGAAGCTGCTCTAAGGTCTCCCCTGAGGCTTCTACTGACACTGTTGTATGTCAAACCAGTACATTACTATGTAAGAGCAGAAGGGTTTTTTTATCTACTGAATTACTAGCAGAACTTTCTCTAAAGCAACCGTAAACTATTTTTCTGGCCACAAGCATGATCTCAACATACCAGTGGTCAAGCACTGTTACTGGTGGGTAATTAGAGCAGCAGCATGACAGCTGTGCAAAGAAACAAATGGTAGGGGAGGTTTAAAAGCTGCCTAGCTGCCTGCTCCTGACACATGCTCAGTCCCTCATCAATCTAGACAAGCTGCCGTACAATGGACAGAACCCACCTCGCCTTGGTCCTTTCTATTTCTCAGTGCTACTGGTGATGCCCATCATGAACAGCCCCGGTTCTTGCAGGGATTAGTGAAGGGAAATCTCACTGTGATGCTCTGTCCTTATACAAGGACACAGGGACATGGACAGCAGCCTGTAAGCCTCTGCCTGCTTCCTTTGGGGGACTTACGAGGATGAGACAAGGAATGGTATTCACACAGTTGATCCCCTTCGCTCCTCCTGCATTACTCATGGAGAGGGCCCTCGCGGCCAGCGCATCTGGAATCTCTTTTCCCTGCATTCTTCCACGTGTCTGTAGCTAAGAATAGTGTCTTTTCTCAGAAACATAAAACTCTGAAGCGAGCTTTGAAAGAAATGTTGGCCATGTCAGGCTCTCAGGGGCAGGCAGCGCAGGACAGGCGATTTTTAGAGCCTGACCCAGCAGCAGTCACATAATTGTTTACAAGAAACAAGAAGCATGAACTGTGGTAGCCCCAAAAATACTGTTTTCTATGAGGACACAATGCCCAGGGGAAAACTTCTAGGTGCTGCTCCTCAGCTGCAGAAGCTGCAGTAACCCTCCCTTGTATTTCCGAGCATGAAGACTTGGTACAGCTCACGCTCTGAGACATCTTACAGAAAACCACTTTCCCACTGCAAGAATGCACAATAGTTTGAGCAACACTTGACATGGACCTGGACTCCGATCCCACTGAGCAGCTCCCTGGAGGAACAACTTGAACTGGGCGCCTTGGGATGCTTTGCTCTGGCTCTGATGATACAGAGACATCTGAGCATGAATAACACATGATTTTGAGCTTCTGTTGAAAACCTGCAGTCAAAAACGATTGCCCAGAGAAGCTGTGGCTGCCCCATCCCTGGCAGTGTTCAAGGCCAGGTTGGACACAGGGGCTTGGAGCAACCTGCTCTACTGGAAAGTGTCCCTGCCCATGGCAGGGGGTTGGAACTGGCTGAGCTTTGTGGTCCCTTCCAACCCAAACCAGTCTCTGATTCTATGATAAAACCCTTCCCAGGCTGCTACAGCAGCCAAGAGACCTGATTCCTCTTCACACAAGGATATTGAAGTTTGTTGAAGGGAGATGGCAAAAGAAAAGCCAGTTGTGCCTAAACAGCCAATCCACCAGTGAACTGTTCAGACAAAGTGCTGGCACTTCAATGTTAAATCAGTACATAAATAAAACCTAGTGAATTCAACTGACTGTTGTATGTAAGAAGCAAGTCACTGCTGAAGTGCACAAATTAAAAAAATCATAGACAATGTTTTCCTGCACTGGGGCGTGCCTGTGTTACAAACTGAAAGGTGAAATCTGGTTTTTCTAGCAGCTCAATCATGATTTTCCTGCACTTTGCTCCACTTTTGCCGGCCGAAGTTCAACGACAGCCTTTATGCTGTCAAGGCTTCTCTGCAGCTACACCCCCAACTCCCTCCTCCCTGGGCACAAACCCCTGTGAAGCAACGGGCAAAGCCCTGGATGGGATATGGGTGTTGCTTCCTTCTGCAGCTCCTGGAGTTTTGGTCATTAATGTTTACATGTGCTGCAGAGCTTCCCTTCTACCAAAGTGGGGTTCCTAACTGCAGAGCATCAGTGGTTTCCCTTTTCAACACGCATTAAAAAATCACAGAGCTCAAAATAGGCTGTTCTGCAGCTTGCATCTTTCTAGGGACTTTTGTTTCTCCAAGCAACAGGAAAACTCAGACCAGCTTTTATTTACTGCAGAGAAAACCACAGACCAAAGGCAATCTGTGTTTTCTCTTCCTCCTGCCCCGCTGGGTCTCTCTCCTGTGCAGCTCACAGTCTTGGGCACACTTTACTGACTGTCACACTCAACAAATGAATGCCATTATCATAGGGAAGTGTAGAGCTCTGGATAGATGCCCCCCTTTTCTACATTTGGTTTAATTAAACCTGTGTAAATTAATAATTCGGTCTTCGTCATTATGAACTTAATTATTGTTACGAGATTCGAGGTGACTGCACTGAACGTATTTAAGCACAACCTCCTATGTTTTCTTCCACTTCAAAAAGCCAAAGGCACTGCCAGAGCATAATTCTGGTCCAGTCAAACACAAAAGACCTACAGCAGTGTTAATACAGAATCCCTTTCCTTTAGACTTTCCTTGAGCCATCCTTAAAGCCCCTACTTCTGTCTTCACCACTGATCCAGCCTGACTCTGGACATACAATATGGACAGGATCTAACCTTCCTGCCTGTGGCAGGGGGTTTGGAACTAGATGATCTTAAGGTCCCTTCCAACCCTAACTATTCTATGATTATTACAAAATTCATCTTTCTAAAGACCTTGCCTTTTTCTACTCATCCCATCTCCTAATTTACTCACTTTCCTATGAATCTTAGGATTTTCTTTTCACCAGAGAGGCAGAAGTCCAGGAACTGTAAGAGTCATGCAGAGGAGACAGTGCTCTCTCTGACGACATGGAAAGTCTGAATCAGACTTAGTAATATTAATTGGACTGAAACAGTACAACTAAGACACAAACACGGAGAGCAGATTAGGGGAACTTCTCTATATAGAAGGAGCAAGGACCTTCTCTGTCGCCTGGCCATCTTTCAAACACCATTTAAGGTATGAACTTCCAAAGGACAGCTGTCCAACAGCAGGGAAAGCAAGCCAATTTCAGTGGAAATGCAGGATACCTCTATTAATTGTACCCAGAATTCAAGCGTGGTCGGTGGCCATGCACCCCTCTGTAGACAGCAGGAAGCAAATGACAGATCTGTTGCTTCTGAAAGCTCTTGCTAACCTGCATGTTCTCTGTAGCATCACCAAGCAATCCTCCAAAAGTGATAGCGTTGGTCACTGTGGCCAGGTAGATGAAAAGAATGGCTGAAAGGGCTTGAATGTTTAAAGCGTCGTAGAAGTCGCTGACAAAGAACGGTGCTTTCCTCTTTATGTCTTTGATTAAGCCACCACAGAACCTGAAAAGACAAGCAAGAGGAGACTCGTGCAAAATGCTTCACAGTGAAAGTCACCAAGATAAGTCATCAGAAGCATTGCCAAAAATGAAGTATTATCTGAAAGGAGTGAGATCATCACATTAGAGAATAGTCTTATGGCAGCTGTGATGGTCCAGGGATATCACTGAAATAATGCTACAAAGAAAGATAACGTCTTGATGCAGCTGGAAAGAAACACATTTCAGGAACACAAGTCCCACTTCTGCTGCAGCAGATCACCGAAGTTTGCAGTTCAGGAAGCTTGCAATTTTTTTTCCTCAACTATACTGGTTGATGTAATAAAATATATTAACTCTAGTCTAAATCCCTGCCTAAATTTCTCCACCCGGCAAACACAATGGTTGGGTGAGCCAAATAATCTGCTAAGTGGAAAAATGCTTCAAACTGTTAACCAGAAAACAGCTACAAGTGGAAAACACAAGTGAAATCATCTTGGAGAACAAGAGAGCTGCACTTGCAGATGTATTCTTTCTGTGGAATCATAGACAATATTTAACCTGTATAAACTCTGTGTGGCTCTGACACTGCCAGCACGAGAAATGTGTCTGGTTTCTGACCCAGAAACAGGACATACTGACTGCCTTGTATACACCAACGTGTAATTTCAGATTTTCAGATTTTTCTCCTAGAATTTGGATACTCTGCTAGAACTTCAAAAACAGAGTGCGGGAGGGAGGGCACAATGCCACCACAAAAATCTGTGTAGTGACCCTGAAATGCTGAGCACACTGTTTCATGGCCACCTGGACTGCATTCCCACCCTACTGGACTTCTACATGGCATACAAGCAGAGTAATAAAGCAGAGAGTAAAGCCTTGGGCTCTGTCACCTTCTGTATTTCTATCACATAAAAGCCTTCATTCTGCAATTCAACTACAACAGGAATGTCTGGAAAAGGGAATGTCTCTGCTCTTGGCTAAAGTGCCTCCAGCAATCCAAATGGAAACTGTAGCTGTACCTGCCACGTTTACACCCCTCACAGATCACCTAACTTCACAGGCTGTCAACAGCGAACACCTACCTGGGCCTTTCATTTTTTTGTGCTTATTTAAGATGCTTTGTAATTTGCTGAGGCTGGGGGCTTGGGGCTGGGGGCCCTTCAGGCAGCCCCAAGCTGGGCACTGGGTTCTGGGGTCACAGCTCAACCTATACAAACAGTATGCTCAGATGGAAAGCAGAGCAGAAATGGTTCTGCAAAGGGAGCACTGCCACCTCGCATGGGTGACTCCAGGCACATCCCACTAGCAGAGCATTACTGACCTGCCAGTTCGTTGCAACTCTTCGCAGTCCCCATGGCCCCCACCGCCGTGTCCTCCATCATGAGGTGTGTCTCCATTCATCTGGAGGTTTTCTCCACCAGAGTACATGTTTTTCCTAGGCAAGAAAGCAAGGCAAAATGAGGGTCTGACAGCGCCACCCAACATAATCCAAGATCCATAATCTTCCTATGAACAAGTGTTACGCAGCCCTTCCTAGAGCCACATGGTACAAAGGAGACTAGAAGGCTGACCTGCTGGCAGCGAGTGGAACACAGAGTGTTAAAAAGACCAAGCAGAACCACAAGGAGTCTGGATAACCACTATGTATGTTATGTGCCTACAACATTACCATGAAGGGTACAGAATTGCAAGAACATCCTCCTTCCAGCTATTAAGAAAGACCTGAGAATCATCATGGAATCCTAGAATGGTTTGGGTTGGAAAAAGACCTTAAAGCTCATCCACTTCCAACCCCCTGCCGCAGGCAGGGACACCTTCCTCTAGAGCAGGTTGCTCCAAGCCCCGTCCAACCAGGCCTTGAACACTGCCAGGGATGGGGCAGCCACAGCTTCTCTGGGCACCCTGTGCCAGTGTCTCAGCACCCATATAGCTCCCAAAATTATTTCTAGTACCTTCTAAACACAGACAGGCAGATGCAGTCACTGAAGTTGCTCAATAAACCTGGTGTACCCAAAGCAGCAGCTCTTCCCATCGCCTTTTCAGAACTGGTGCACACTGTTGCTCATCACAGAGCTAAACCTGCCTGTCTCCTGCTCTTACCTTTTATCTGAAGAAGGAAGAGACTTGGGGGGCTCTATCCTAATGGCTGGATCCCATTCCCCAGGGGGGAGCACAATGACTTCATCCAGAAACTCATCGATGCCAGCGATCAGGTCCTGCCGGTCCTTGGCTTTATAGGCAATGTCATGAAACACCTGCAAGGAAAAGAGAGATCCATAGAGAAAGGGTTGCATTTTCTGTAGCCCAGACTGTAGGCACAGCCATCGAATTTTATTCTATAAAAATTCATTCTCAGAAAGTACCAGGACACTTGGCCCAAGGGTGTGTGAACCTCGGGAAAGCCTATTCCTTTGGTTGGTCATTTAGCAATAGATAAAAGAACATCGATCCTCCTTCCCTACCTGCTTCAGTATATCCAAAAATAGGTTAGTTTCCAGTCCTGTGACATAGAAATGATGACAATATTTATTCAAAAATAGTAATGAGAAGCACAGACTGGTTTTACTGAAAGGTCTTGTATTTTTGATGAAAAGTGAATGAGAAAAGAGAGGAAAAGTAGCATTAATGCTGAATTTTACAGGTATCTTCTGGACTGTTCGGAATGGAGGTGGATGAGCAAACGTGACAGACTTAATAAGAACAGCCAGTGGTAGGAAGGAGGACTGTGGGGCCATGGAAACTAAACCATTGCTCCAAGCAGTGCAAATGCCAGAAAGCAGAAGAGAAAACTTGCCTTAATTATCAGGCAAGTGGTAATTAAGGGAACCATATGAGAGCAAAAACAACATAAGGACACAGCAAGAAACAAACATAATGTAAATCAGCCCCAGATCCACAGAGCCCAAGGGACACTGGAAGAAAAAAGCCATAAATGAATATTGAAAGTCCAGTCATCTCATTGTGCTGTATGATTAGCAAGTAATTGCTAGCTGCTCATGGATAATATATAAGCACTGCCTGAATGAAGAAGTGCTCTGAGATACAGTGCAACACAAAATAGTATGTCCTGGGTGTAACCATTTCTGCTGTAATTACCTGGAGCATGGCTGTGTGTTACCAGGATCATGGAATGCAACAGAAGGTGCGCACCACAACAAGATTAATTCAAAGATCAGACTCAAAAGTCTTTCCCAATCTAGTTGGTTCTAGAATTCTATGACAGTCTCTTGGGAAGAGTGATTGCTAGCAGGAGAATACACTCAATGGACAAAACCTTCCTACAGTCATGCTTTTATAAAAACACGTGAAATAATTAAATAATTACGTGAACAGATGGAATTAGGAGGTGACATTTGGATCTTTCAGCTTTACATGTATATTCCTGTCAACCATGCTGGAGGAAAGGACATCATTATTAGCTAATGAAGTGAAACCTGGGAGAACCCATTTCTCACAGGTGATGTCAAGACACCTACCTCATCCGACATTAGCGTGGCAATGGCTCGACCAATCTCATGATAGGACTTTGCTTTGCCCTTCGGTCCCAGCAGAATGAAGAGGAATCTGACAAAACAAGCAGATTGTTCCCCTTTAGCATAGCAAAATGGATGGCTTACTACTTACGTAATATCTGGATGGAAATTCAACTTCCTAAAGTTGTGGTCCTTGTTAAAGATCCAGAGTCTGCCAGTGACCTCCAGCTAATTTGGGAGTTGAGGTTACACCCTGCAGCCCATTGCACTTACTCAAACAAGCAAGACACTACCCAGAGTTTTGCTCTGTTAAGCTTTGAGACCACTACTGAGACCACTATGGCCAAATGCTATCACAGTGCTACGCAGAGGTTGCTACCATCCAGCACCCTAGACTTCAGGATGAGGCGAAGGAAGGATGTTCTTTCAGCGCCTGGTACCTGGAAGTGAACACATGACAGATGCCAGCTCCAGTGCAGGGTGGTTGAGCATTCGTGCCCTATGAACCACAGAAAGCCCACAGGATGGGCCAAGCAGGGCCAGCACAGCAGTGGGCACAGAGGAAAGATGCGATTAACCGTTCACATTGCTCACTGTGAACTTCATTGCTCCTCCAAGCTATATCAGACAGCACTCCACGTGCTTATTAGTGCTCTGCTGGGGCTCAGATCTCTGTTACACTTCAGCACCCACATGTGAAGGGAAATCATTAATCTAAAATAGGGCTTTAGCTATAAATAATTAAGCCCAATTTGTATGCCCTGAATTTCCACTCCAAGTATAAGATACATACCAGAGACCTGTAAGCCCATCTGATGGTTTTACAGTCACAGCTTAATTCTTAAGCAGGCATCTTAAGGTGTGAGTCTATTCCTACGGCAGACACCATCAGCAAGGGTGACCACATCTACAAGGTATTAGGAGCTGACTTCTTACATGATCTCTCTGGGCAGCAACTATGTTCAAGTCACTGCTAATGAGTTTGGAAGACACCATGATATGAAATCTTTGGAGAAAGGAAATTACTGCTCTTTATCTTTCCTGCCCTTGCTTTTGCCAGTGCTAACATGCTATGAATCAGGCCTTGCCTATGTTGCAGTGTGTTCTAATGAGAGTCCTTAATGCAAAAGCTATACATGGAAAATGGAAGCTTCTGCCAATAAAATTGTCTAGCAGTTGTGCCAGAGCAATGGGAATGCTGTTAAAAGGTAGCTGCATTTTCCAACGTCTTAACTGACACTCATTCGAGGAGTTTTAAGTACAGCCTCAAGGTTGGATCTTCAAACATACCTAGAATCTCCTGGCCTGGAATGAAAAGTAAATAAATAATCATATAAAAGATACCACCATTTAAATATTACTTAATTCAGGAAAGATCTAAGCCTTATCTTTGACACTGCCAGTTCCTAAACTAGGTTTCACGTGCAAGCCCAAAGCATCAATGCTGAAATGGCAAAAGCCACTACCTCCCGTAGAGATACTCTTACTTCAGAGTTGATTTTGCACTGTAGACAGCTGCTAAGCTGGCAGCTACTTACTCACACAGCATCTACAGCCTTGCCTGTAGAAACACAAGTTTCCTCTAAATCCCCTGTTCAGATTTGTCCCCCAAAAAATGATTTGGTTCATGGCTATGGCACAAAAATACATCTGTCTTCATGCTCACCTCTTTGCCTTGACAACCGGCTTAATCAAGAAAGCCCTGTTAGTTCTGGTGGCCATCTCACACAATGGCCAGCACTTGGTGGTCAGTGGGTTTTCAGTGAAGACCATTGCGCTGGTGTTTCAAGCATGAGCTGGACTCTATCTAGTGACCTTGAGATAAAACTCTCTCTCTCACGTGTCAACTCACCCTTGCAATTAGCAAAAAACAAAAGTCACATGGCAGGAGACCAACATCTCCATTTCACCTAATTTAGCAAAGGCAATTATTGGAGCAATTTTCAGCAAACGCTGTATCAGCATGTGTTTCAAACAGAAACACTTACCGCCGCTCAAAACTAAAGCTTCCTGAATTGAGCCTTTTTCCAATTACAGCTCTACCTTTCTACCAGTAATGGAAAATAAACACACTATAACCTTGAGTAAGTTGTCTTGTCTAAAACCCTTTGCATTACCCTCAATAATTAAATCCCTTTAAATACCCTCCCCTATTGATCCAGTCACTCATCTGTCAAGTTAGACTAAGTCATTTGAGGCTTTTCTCCTCTCTTTAGTCACTTTGAAGGCTCTTCCATGAACCTTCTCTGATCTATCAGTGTCTTCCTCAGGGAAACAATCCAAGAGCTGGTGGTTCTGTCAGTGCAAATGCAGAGACGAAATAACCTGTGGCTACTCAGGAACTTGATGTGAGCCTGCTTTCCTGAGAAAAGGGAGTCAGGAGCCAGGAAACAGGACTTCAGGTATGGACAAACATGGGAAGTAGGACAAGGGGGAATGGCTTTAAACTAGAAAAGGGGAGATTTAGATCAGATGTAAGCAAGAAGTTCTTCCCTGTGAGGGTGCTGAGGCGCTGGCACAGGTTGCTCAGAGAAGCTGGGGCTGCCCCATCCCTGGCAGTGTTCAAGGGCAGGTTGGACACAGGGGCTTGGAGCAACCTGGTCGAGTGGAAGATGTCCCTGCCCATGGCAGGCAGTTGGAGCCGGATGAGCTTTGAGGTCCCTTCCACCCCAAACCAGTCTGTGATTCAGATATGATTCTATGTCTTAGAAACATAGTAGGATGACAGGGAGAGCTGCGATTATTGCCATGGTGAAGGGAAAGGACACGGCATATACTTCTAGGGAAACAGCTTTCAGCAGTTCTAGCCCTGATGGAACAATGTGCTATACCCACGATGGCTCCAGTCATGACCCAGAGACAACCAGCACTTTGAGCACAGCCCCTCCACCTGCACTCTCTGCCCCTAAAGGAGGAAACTGACATGAGGCCAAGTTAAAGCACAGATGACCACATTGCTCTGGGCCACACATGGAGACACTCTCTTTGTTATTTGTCAATCTTTGCTATATTAACTATACATTTTCTGAAAAGCAGCTGATAAAAAGTGGACCACACCAGGGTTGAGAGGTGTGGCATCTCACCAGAAGTACTCCTCCCCTTACAATCATAATATTAAATATTATTTCAGATTTCTAAATCAAATATCATGAGGTACTAAGTCAAATATCTTACAAGGTATATTATATCCACACAAGCACTTTCTAGATAAAAACATCTAGAGTCCTATTTAAAAAAGGCATCAAGCCAGTAGGACAGGATCCATAAATACATATTAATTGGCATCACTAACAGTAACATTTCCTCATTGAACTCTTCATGAGGTTTCAAGTACTTTACTTAAGGTTCACATGGAGGTGACTAAGCCATACACGCCTAGGTCATGCCCTCTCTCTCCTCCTACCTCTTGGAACCTTCCCTGTGTTTCACAAGTTATTATAAAGCAACATTATAAAACTGTTCCTCAGCCAAGTCTTTAAGAACTCTGGGATGCAAATTTTCCAGAAATGTTAATTTTTAAAAAGCGTTCCTAGCGTCAGAAGTTGCTGCTTGACATTCTGATTCTCCAGGGAAATGAGACATTTTCAGAACCATCTTCTGAAATAATTACACTAGCTCTCTTCCAGCGCCTAACACAAGCACCTGAATGCTCCTGCACTGACTAAAATGTCCTTGGAAACAAGCAGTTTCTGACACCTTCCAAATTCTTTGTCTTGACTGATTCATCCCAGAATTACCTTCAGCATGTAGAACAAGATCTTTTAAAGAGCCAAGTATCAGAAAGACAAAAACCACTAATGCATTTTAGTGGTTTGGACTACATTATGTTTCCATGCATTTAGTATCATTTAGTTATGAATACTTCCACCTGAGAAAGTCCTCGCTTCTAGCTATGACATACTCCTCTTCATCTGTCAAGATGAAAACCAGTGCACAACACACGCTGAGTTATCAAACCTCCATTTCTGATATTTAACATTGCTAAGGATGCTTCAACACAGAGGATGTGAAGTACACCTCGTATCACTCAGCTCAAAGTCTCTGTAAAGTAGTAACAAAATTCAATGTTTGTCCCCAGAGAAATACCTGGTCTTGAACTTGATACGACAGCACAGTCAAAGCATTCAAAATCCTTTGCTTCCAAGCTGATAGTGAGTCAGAAACTCAGTAATTTGTTTCTGTTTTACCTGAAGCACTGTTCATCCTGTTGTTTCTGCATGCTTCACACCCGTCTCAAGCAGATGATGGCCACCAGCTATGTATGATTCTCCTAATCATATGGACTATACCACCAAACCCAACCAGAATAAATTTATTCTCATAGATGAGCAATTCGAATCCAAAACTCATCCATGCCTGCCAAATCTGAAACAACAGATTTTCCTGTCAAAGCAAGAGCAACAACTTCGTAAAGGTTAAAGGCACCTACCCAAAGGAAACTCAGTAAAGTCCTGAGAAAATGGTTTTAATTTTGCGATGGGTGGGAGGAAGCAGTCCTGTTGTTGGACACCATGTGAGAAGCCTGCAAGGCATTCAGCATAGAGATAAATGTTGGTCTGGAGGGCTGGAAGAACAACCTCGTGATGTACTTTTTCAGCAGAATAAGTGGTTGGACTGCTGATGAAAGGAGAACAACCTGAGACTGCAGTCATGAAAGGAGATGGTGAAGTGTTCGGTCCATCTTCTATTTCACACAGGTGATCCTTCAAGTCTCGATCAACGTTATCAACATCACAGGCTTCCTACATGGTGTCCAACACATGAACACAGTTTTCCAGAGCAAGTCCTGCTGGAAAGGCTGCTGAAGGACACAGCCCTGAAAACCATTTCAATGCTGCAATTAATGAACAAGACATGTCATCCTCACCTATGAAGAAGAAAAGATGCCTCAGCAGTTAAGAGCTCAAGTTAGGAGGCAAGGGAGGAGAATCTGACTCCTGGTTCTGCCCCATGCTTCCTAAGTGATCTGTGGGCAAGTGACTTCATTTCATTTAAGACTTGCAGACACAGGCAATTTCCCAGCACTACATATTAGCCTGTGCAAGTCTGTACAGCTTATCTCCAAAAAACATCTTTCCCTTCCTCATTCTTCATCTTTTTTCCCCATCAACATTACATTAAGGCAGCAGACCTCAACACATGATTGTACATTTCTCTTATGAAAATAAAAAGCTACAGCTACTGTACTGTCCAGAGGAGAAACAGCCGTACCCAAGCCATAGTGCAAGCACAGTAGTTTGCTAAAATGAGGAGTTTGTAGCACTGAGGAATGAAATTCAACATGAGAAAACCAAGGTCCTTCAAGGTTTTTTCAATCTGATCAGTAAAAAGAAAACAGAGAAAGGCTGGGATCTCTCTATACCAATTTCAGATCCCTGAGTTTTATTACCAGGGTTGTATGAAAATACCCTACTGAGAAACCTTTCCTGGAGAATTCATCATATCTTCCTGGTTTCTATTAAGTAAAAATCTACTTTTAAGTAAACGAAATGCTTAAAATCCTTAGCAAGGAAGCGTGAAGGAAAAATAGATAGAAAAATGATGTGTCCAAGGAAGAATAATTTCTACACAGGACATCTTATTTCTACAAAGCATCCAAAATTCTGTAGCTTACAAGAAAAATCCAAGCCAAAGAATGTGGGGAGGAAGAAAAAAATAAAACTAGCAGAAATAAGTAACCCATTTTACAGGATGTCTACATATTGAATACTGTCCACCTTATGCACACAATAATCCTTTTTCTTTCTACAGTGCTGGGTCAACACGGATAAACCAAACCAGGGCAGGGCTATCATGGTATCATGAACCTTTCACCTTTCAGGGCTAGGTGTCTTATTTGCTTCTGCAACACAAGACTGTGGTGATGTCTTACATACCCAGCTAGCAGATGCAGCTGATGGGCTGCTTCTCAGCTAGTCTACCAAAAGCTATCGCTGTCCTCTCCCTGAAAAATCTGCCCAGTTAGTGCTTTGAAAAGCAAAACATAGAGATGGTTTCATGCACCAGCATCGTGTGCGGTCTGCGGGCAGTACAGTGCCCATCCACAGCAGTAACATGCTGCCTGAGATGGCCAAGACCTGGTGCTCACTGAGGAGATGCTCCATCACAGCTTCTCTGGGCCCCCAGTGGGATTTCCTTGATTGAATTTCACAGGATGCAGCCACTGCAAATGGCTCTTCATTACTCACAAAAGCCATCTAATGAGCCTCCCTGCTTTGATTAGGGCTAGCATTCGGTTTGGAGGACAGCAAATGGATAATGCTATTTCCTGGAAAAAAATGTTGGCACAGAAGGACATATTGTCTTGATTAATGCTATTGAGTAATGAGGTCGTTCAGCAATCCTAGATCTAACTTCCTGGCTCCCACTACCAAAACAAACAATACCTAATTTTACATCTGCTGAAAAGCATTTGGAGATATGCTTAGAAAAAAAAAAAGCAAGTGGAATTAGACTTTGAAGCCATAACACTGAAATATGCAGAGCTCAGTAATGCTGAGGAATGAGGAATAACCTTTTATAAGCCACTTTTGTCTCCCCATGCTCCTGCCAGCATACCCACTGTGTGCAAACAGCTGTTGACATGGTTATTTTAAGGAGCCACTTACAGAAACTCCAAGAAATACAAACACTGCTGCATTACTAGGAGGCAGTTAAACAAACAGCAGAACTAGATTCTCTTTTTATTTGGGTTTGTACATGAAATAAGGTACAGATTATAACAACCATATCACTTCTACTCCATACAATGGCTGGGATTCCTTCCAGTATCAGTAATGCACTAGCCATGTGCTTCTGTCGTGGTACCTCTCACAAAATATTACTTGATATAGCCTCAAACCCTGTAGGCATTCAAACCACAACCTTCACTCTGCATGGAAAGCCCTGGAGATTGTTCACATAAAACATGTATTTGCACATTAGTGATGATGTGAGAGGTGCAATTTGAACTCCCTAATTAAGCAAAACACAAAGTAAACCCTTTGTAAGCTGACAGGAGCAGCACTCCAGAGTGGAGGTGCACAGTGGGGCTGAGGACTGAGGTTCTTACCTTGGTGGGGTGTTTGTATATGAAGCACACATACACTCTTACATTAACACTCAAATACAGCAGATGCTCTGGACATCTACACTGATAATTTTTCTCTACTGTATTACTTGATAAAAAATATGAAATTATATAACTAAAGGTAATATTGGTAAGAATTCAAATAGCACTTTGTTATTCTAGTAGATAAACACACTGTATAGTTACACATCTTCAAGCAGCAAATTCAAATATTGAAGAACATAAACTCTATTTGTATTTGGGAGACTCAGATTAACTTGCAGTCACAGTAAATTGACAGTTTTCTCTGAATCATTATGCCTTAGAGAGCACCACAGAATCATAGAATAGTTTGGGTTGGAAGGGGCCTTCAAAGGGCATCTCATCCAACCCTGCTGCAATGAACAGGAACATAGCATCACAAAATCCACAGAACGGTTTGGGTTGGAAGGAACCTTAAAGTTCACCTCGTTCCAACCTGCTGACATGGGCAGGGACACCTTCTACTAGACCAGGCTGCTCAAGGCCCCATCCAACCTGGCTAGGTCACAGAATGTGACCACCCCAGCAGAACTGTATGCCCCAGTTTACCTGACTTACCGGGTTTGCTCCAGCAGAGCCAGAAGTGCATCTTTCTCCTAATGTGAGTTTAAGAGGAAAAACACGTACTGCAAAAACTTGCAGAGGGAATCTGAGTGACACTGACGGGAATCATCAGGGGCAGGAAGAAAGCTCCACTAGTTAAATTTCACACTGACAGTGCCCTTTACTAGTAAGTTATAAAGTTAGTGTTTTCGTGCAATGTTGTTCTGGTTTGCAGCTTGTATTTTATAACCAAATTTAGGACCTGAAGATTATTAAGCAGCTACAGTTTTGTTACTTTAAACCAATAATCCTGATCGTTACACACATCACATGACGGAAAGTAATGGAGAACATCTTCTGGCCTGGGGTTTTTATTTGACCAGGTGGAAATGGAGTTTCCCATTCTTGTACCCTTCCCAGGGGCTCAGTTCTCTTACCGGGTAGGTACAGGGACTTCAGTTAGAGCACCCAGCATGACTGCCTGCTGCAGCCGAACGAAGGCAATGAAGGGACACTCCAGGAAGTCCACCTCCCCAACCAGCACATTGGAAGCCTCAGCATCACGTGGCAACTTCTTCATGAATTTATTCTTCAGCTGCATCAGTGAAAGAGGAAGGAAAAGAACATTAAGTCTCCTTAGGCAAGCAAATAGGAGCGTACAATAAAATACACCCAGTTTTCACCAGTGTTTCCTCTTTGGTCAGAAGGTATCTTTGGTCACTTACTGAGGATGATAATACGTATCAGCCCCACAAAGTCTACTGAGATACAAACACTAGGAAGATCAGCCCCAGAAGAACAATGATGATTGGTGCCAGAGCAAAGATGATGCTGAGAGGACTGTGCCTCTTGGAGCTGGACACTTGCCTTTCACTGTGTACATGTCTTTTCAAGTTCCAAGGGGAAGGCTGAGCTCAGCACAGGCTTTTAGGAGCATGTTTCCTAGCCTGTGGCTTCTCACTTCATCTAAATTCGCTTGGGGTTGTCCAAACGTGTTGTTCCCACTGCCGGTGCAGGTCAGCACATGAGGAGTCACCAGGTAGAAGTACCAGGAGTGCTGGTTTGGAAACTACACTAATGGTCTCAATAACTGTTACTGCTTCCCACCATCACTGCCTGAGCCTGCAGCCCTCCCGCAGGCTTCTGCCCTCAGAGCACAGAGCAGAGAATGGCCAAAGGGGCACGGAGGAACTTGTGCCATCATTAGAGACCTTCTTACCAGGAGAAAAACCCTTCTCAGCCTGTCCATGGAATGATGCTGGATGGCTGTTATACCACTCACATCTCAAAGATCTGAAGGGAGAGAAATCCTTGGGAAGAGGCGAAGTGAGAAGGGGCGTCCATGAAAAAGAGAGAAATCTAAGAGGGTTTCAGAGGAGATGCTGAGCCAGGAAAGGTTGGGTGGCACAGGGAACCCCCTCCAGATGGTCATGGTGGGGACTCTGGTTAACTGGTCTCCCCATGACGAGGCTCCTACCACTCTGCTAGCCCAGGTATGAATACCAAGCAAGAGGAATATGTGTGTGTGTGTGTGTGTGTGTGTGTGTGTGTGTGTGTGTATCTATCTCCCTCCCTCCCTCTCTTCCTCTCCTCATACATCTCAAACCCAACTATTTCCACCATCAATTAAACATCCATTGCTTTATAACCAAGTTACTGCAGATGTTTTACCCTTTTTACCCTTGCCACAGCAAGTCCTAACTCCATTCCAACTCTGAATACCATTCTGCTAGAGAGAAATTTTAAGAACCTCACACAGAAGTTTCAGTAACTGAACTGCTAACACCTGGAGTCCATAGACATAAACCACCCTGCCTCGTCTGCTGAAAAATCAGTGTGGCCCACTGTGATCCACCTCAGCAGAACTGCCTAAAATCCCCAGCAGCTCCCAGCACAGCCTGGCTCCACAGGTTTTCAGAAGCCCCAAAGCACACACTGACCAGTGGTTTTAATATTATAGTAGTAAACCGATGGTGAGAATTGCTTACAAAAGGACAGATTCTTCTCAGGTGCCCCTAGGTAAATAGAGATGACAGGAAATGAAGAACTCACCCATTTCAGCAAAAGAAATTCAACTAAGACACCAGAATTTCTGTCAGATGAGTCCACTAATCTGATTTCCTTACTCACCCAGGTTATTTCAACATAGCTTTCCCGTGATGCCCTGAAAGCTTTAATTCTTCGTACTCTTACGATCTCTGACTGCTCCTTTCTCCTCAGTAACATGAACCTGAGTTGTTATGTGAGCATTTTTGGGGGTGGCAGTGCTTTTTCTAGCATGCTTTCACTATCTTCCTACAACTGTGCTTTTTCCTTCATTAACAGCTGAGCCAGAAATAGGATGAAGGGAGCTGGTGAAGCCACCCTAAGTGTACATCAGTGCAACTGAACTGCTCATCTTCCAGCTTTCTCATTCTTAAGGTCTAGATTTTAGTCTATTTGAAAACCAACTTGATTTTTGATTTAAAAAAAAGGTGTATCTCAAAGCAAAACAATGTAGTTATTGTTTAATGCACTTCTAATAGTGCAGCAAAGCATCTGTGGTGTTACTGAACAGCAGGGCTCTAATCTGCAGGAAAGTGAGCTTAGAAGACAACCTGTAAGCTGCATTTATTCAATTCCAGTCCTTCCTGAGGCACCCAAATGGTATCTGAGGTCTAGTTCTGTGTTCATCACCATTAAAACAAAGTACCAGAAGACATCTACTAACCAGAATCATTCTCATCAGCCAACTGCCAGGGTTACTCTCATTTGTACATCTTTTCCTAAAGTACAGCTATAGCTTTTTGCTAAAAACAGTTCTTTATGGCCTGAAGGTTATTCTTCCTATCCCTGCACCTATGTAATGGTACCATAGCAGATGCAAGCAGGCTCATGGGGCCCTACAACAGGCATCCTACAGTCCAACTATGGAGAAATCACAGAATCACAGAGTGTTCTGGGTTGGAAGGGACCTTAAGATCATCCAGTTTTAACCCCCTG